GTGTAGTATGTGTGTGTGTGTGTGTGTGTGTGTGTGTGTGTGTGTGTGTGTGTGTGTGTGTATCAGGGTGTCCCACAACTCGCGACCAAAATTTTTATGGCATATTTCTGACTTAAAAATAAGACGAAAATTCTAATACGAAAATGCCGAGGCTATAATAATTTTTAAATTAATAGCGATTAAAGTCAACTAATCATAGAGCTAACATTTCGTGCGCTCAGGCATGATGATATAACAAGTGATAAAGGCGTTACCACGAGGGCCCTCTTAACGTCAATCGAGATTATTATACAAATATATTGATATGATATACTATTATATTTTTATTATATAGAAATTATTTTTGCTTTTTTACGAAACCTATTTGTATATTACATACGTATAATTAATATCAGAACATATCACAAAATATCAATATCAATTCAATAGCGAGATATTACGACATATGTTAAGTATCGATATAAATAACGTTGAAATACAATGATAATGAAATAATTTCATTAATTAGACCATATCTAAGCATAGAAAATAAGTACACTGCCTATGCGTTGTATTTAATCGTAATCATATAATGAAATGTCAAAATTTGACATATCATACGAGAGAAGTTGTCTATGATATATCAAATTTTGACGTAATTCTCTGTGCTAGAAGAAACAATTTTTTCCTTTAGCAAAATTGCGTGCGACAAGTAATTTTTACAGTGGATCAGATTAAAAGTGACGAATAAGCGTATGTGCGTAGCGGTCAGGGCCGGCGCGCGTTCCTCAGGCCGGCGCAGCCTGGTATCTAATCTTTGACGACTTCACGTACTATATTGTTTAAAATATGATAAAAGTTAACAAAATAAATATTGTTTTTATCCTTTACGTAACAATTCAATAAAAAATTATCTAATTTTGTAACATCTGGGAATAAAAATAAATGTAAATAATATGTAAATAATATGGTGTATGAACTGAGCATTCTATTATTTTAATTACTGCGTAATTGCATATGACAATAAAAAAAAATACTGAATTGAACGAATACTTACGATTAATTAAATTACGTGAGTACGTAGTCACGGAGAGTAAAAAAATTAGTTTTTTCATAATAGTGTTTAAAGATAAAATATTTAAATTTACAATTTAAGATATTTTGAGAGAAGTTTTCTCCTCATTTTCTCAGAAAAAATTAACAAAAGATTTATACAAAATATTTATCTTTATAATATTACAATAATTACATAATCTCATAACATTTCAATAATGATTGTACCGATATCTTGAAACTTTTT